ATTCAGTTGGTTGCAGAATCTCTATTTGAAATTTCATGCTGATATATTAATATATTTTTTATACTAAACAGTCATTTTGGTTATTTGTTCCATTGGTCAATAGTAACATGATTGCCGTTGTAATATATCAGGAACACAATTCAGTTATTTCAATCGAATAGCATTTTGGCATAGGTCACAGGAAGTTTTTAACTTGAGTTTAGGTTTAGTTATGAGCCACTATTTGTGCCTCTGTGGCAGAGGCTATACTAAACAGAAGGTGCACCAATTACGGCTCTCCTTTCCTGAAAATATTTTGTGCATTGGGTAAATTATCAGTGAATCAGTCAATAAGAGGCACAATGGCAATCTCCTGCTAATTCCAAAGCCAAATTACAGGAAAGGGCGCACCATTGTTTTTTACTCAGTCCAGAAGCTCAAGTCAGTGTATAAGAGCTCAACGGCAGGGTCTTTGTGTGTAAGGTATAAAGAGGAGTTAGATAAATCCCCCCCGGGGGGCTTCAGCCTGGGATTACAAAAATCTGCAAGGAGCCGTTTTTCCCAGAGATTATTCCCAACCTGTCTTTGTAACCACAACAGTTGCTTAGAGAGAAGCTGCCCAGAGTCAGTGGACTATTGATTCTTAGTTTTTTTCTCATCTGTATTCCTGCTGGGAGTATGGCCTTGAACTCCCACTACACTTTTTATTTGACCAAGAACTGAAAAATAAATGAATTTAATACATGTTCAGCATATATATATTTCAGTGTGAGTCTACAGGATTTTTTCAGCTGTTCTATCATCCCCCTGCTGAAAATAAATCCAATGCAAACTGTATGATTTGAAGTATCTTTGATATCAGTAGCGCAAACAGTTACACATCAAACCCTAAGTATTACAGTAACAATAGTAATTGTCACGGATGTGCCTACTGTGTAGGAACGAGGAGACGAAGGAGCGCGGAGACGTAGGAGAATTCCAATAGACAGTCTTTAATAATCCATACAGGGGAAACCCAGGACAGGCAGGAACACTCGGCCTGGCCTCTACGGCCGGAGCCCTATAGCCCCCCCCCCAAAAAAATTCCTTGGGGGAACTTTCGGGTTCTGAGGCCCTCCGTGGGGAAAATGTGGGAACAGCGGCCCTCCTTGGGCTTGACTCGGGAACTGTGGTCCTTCCTGGGCCAGACGTGGGAACAGCGGCCCTCTCTGGGCCAGACGTGGGAACTAGAGCCCTATCTGGTCCGGACGTGGGAACAGGAGCCCTCTCTGGGCTTATTTTGGGAACAGAGTCTTTTTTCTGGGTTGGACGTGGGAACCACAGCCCTCTCTGGGCTGGACTGGGGAACAGCCGACGGACTTGACGATGGAACGGCTGGCGGGCTTGACTGCGGAGCAGCCGGCGGGCTTGAGAATGCAGCTGCCGGGCTTGACAACAGAGCAGTCGGCGGGCTTGACGGAGTGGCGGGGTGGGGGGGGATGGTATGGTGTGGGGAAACGGAAAACAGAAAACTTTCAAAAACGGAAACAAAAACACGGGAAGAAGAGGCGCCGCTTACTATTTGTACAGTCTAATGTTCTGTCACGGATGTGCCTACTGTGTAGGAACGAGGAGACGTAGGAGAATTCCAATAGACAGTCTTTAATAATCCATACAGGGGAAACACAGAACAGGCAGGAACACACACGTAGCACATGGGGTTTACGTTTAACACTAGATGCTCAACACTGGGAAACACAGGGCTTAAGTACCAATTAACTAAATGAGGGAATAAATGGGACCAGCTGGAAACAAATGAACATAACGGAAACAGGAGCGGGAAAGACCAGATATGGACACAAGGAAACACAGGAGAAAACTGGGTCACGGGGAGAACATGGGGAGCAAAACACAGCACAGACAGTTCAGGGGTGTGACAGCAATAGTGTTGCAAGAGCTATAAAAAGACATTTTAAACCTCTTGTCTCAGATGTTTTTGTTTGGGAAGCATTTTTACAGGCCCTTGAATGTTTGACTGAGTGCACAATGTATGACATGACTGTGAGAGTTTAATATTCTTTATTCAAGCTGCTTAGGTTTTGACATCTTTTGAGACTTGTATTGTGTATAACCAACAAGTCTACTTCCTCTTCATAGTATCATTTATAACCACTAGATGGCATGCCAGTGAAAGAGAAAATCAAGCTTAACTAACAAATTCAGCCAGTGAATGATTAAGAAATGTGGGTGAATACAATATACATCATTGTTCTAAATATATATACAACCTATCCAGTGCATCATGACTTTCAGATGGTTGTGATGTATTCACCCTGCAGTAACTAGAGTCATTTAAAATAGAATAAAAATGTGTGATGTGTGAACATTAAACAAAATAACAAATATTACTATTGTAATATTTCACTGTAAAATAATAATAAAAATAAATTCACAGTACAGCTTCTTAATTTTCAGGTAAACATAGCTTTTTTGGGCAAAAAAATCACAGGGACTCTTGAAGCTTTTCTTATCTTGCCAACAAGTGCATCTCATTACAAGTTTCAAAAGAGAGATTCATTTGTGAATCTGGCATCGCTCCATCTGATTTTATGAGGTCAACTGGCCCTATAGTTATGTTTTCATGATATTAAATACTAAATATTATATCAATATTATTTTTATTTTTATTTAATTTTGTTTTTGGCTATGTTTTAGTTTATGATAATAACCTTGTGGATATCAAATGCACCTATTAAGTAACTCCCAGTCAGATAAATGGGTATGTTAACAGATGAGTTTTTTTTCAGGTATTATAGATCTCCTTGGTGCATTGAGGGGCATTTTATCAGGTAGTGACAGATAATTGTATATTTTTTTCCCATATCATGATGTATATCCGACTGTAACAGATTATCAAACATGAAAAAATGTAGGGCGGGGACTTGGTTCTATTTATTGGTTGTTGCACTCAAAAGTGGAGGCAGATGAAGGTGAGTGGGTTTAAAGGAATAGTTTACCCAATTTTAAAATTTGCTCAGGCCATTCAAGATGTAGATGAGTTTGTTTCTTCATTGGAAGAGATTTGGAGAAATGTAGCATTACATCGCTTGCTCACTAATGGATCCTCTGCAGTGAATGGGTGCCAAACAACTGATAAAAACATCACAATAATTCACAAGTGATTCACAACACTCCAGTCCATCAATTAATGTCTTTTGATGTGGATAACTGCATGTTTGATGTTTTTATCAGCTGTTTGGACTCTAATTTTTGGGTGAACTATTCCTTTAAGTGGAACTAGAGAAGTCCTGCGTTCATCAACACAGAAAAGTCCGTCGTTAAAAAATAAAACACACGCACAGATTAATTGTTCACAATAAGATCTGTAATATGCATTTACAAAATAGATAGGGTGAATTTCCGTTTCATGCTAGCTTTAAAAAACTTTTTTTATTTTTTCTATTTTTTTTTTCTAGTGCAAAAATACTGTGGACACGTTGGTACAACTGTGTTGTACAGGCAAAGTGAAAGTGAGTAGGTGTTTAAGAAGAAAAGGAAGGTAATGTGTTAACTATGTGGCCTGCTTTCTAGGTCATAAATAGAATAGAGAGTGCACTTTTTCATATCATGACTTAAATAGTCAATTTCTTTATAACCCGCTAACAATACAATAATGAACCTCATCTGAATCAACAGGCATGACTGGACATCCGTACCCGTTAGTACACTTGCACCGCTTGCTGTCAATCTGGTTTAAGCCTTAAATGGAAAAAAAAAAACCAGTGTTGATGGGAACTGATCACTATTAGTTGCTGAAAAAGCAGAAAGAGATGGAGGAGATAGAGGCGGTTGACTATCAGATGCTATACTTCCTGTGCACAGCTGGGGCACACCTATGCTCATGCACTCTAACAGATTCAAAGAACCTGATTACAGTTCTCATGCACCTGCAAAACCAAGTGGCATTTATTAAAAAGAAGAACACAATAAAAACATTTATCAATTACTTCTGCTAAAACACCCGTGTGAAATTATTCACTAAAAATCACCTTGGGAACAGTTAGCGGCCCAGAAAAGTGTCAGTGCTGACTAAAAGTCTAGCATAATTTGTGTAATATATATATATATATATATATATATATTATAAAATGCAATGACAATGACACATAGGTGTGATTTAAGTGTCCCAATATGTCAGGAAGCCAACACACACACACACACACAGTTTGAAGATTGTATATAGTGTGTGCATATATGTATATATTCTGGTTATGGTCAGTTAAACCTCACTGTACTGTTGATATAAAACAGATTCCCTTTAAACACACAACAAACTCAATACTGTGCTTAACTCATGAGATAAGATGTCTAGCTTTGCTAACTTCACTTCCCTTGAGTATAAAGTTTCTGTCCATGTCAAAAGGGCACCCTGGTTACCCGTCAGGGTGTGAGATATCACTGTGCAGGCAATGGAAAGTCTGCATCCCTTGGGTGAGCAAAGCTACTCAACACCAGACTCGCAAAGGATTTGAGACCAGTGCAAAACACAAACACAGCACCTGGCTGCTCCAACAGATGAATATTAAAGGATGTTCTGGGTTCAATAGAAGTTAAACTAAATCAGCACTTGTGGTATAATCTTGATTAACACAAAAAATATTTTGACTAAAAATAATAACCCTTGTTTTCTCTGGAAGAAAAAAAAACATTGAGGCACTTACAATGGAAGTTTTTGAAGGAGTGAAAGCAACTGAATGTAGTTTTGAGTATCTTTGCGACTTTGGAGCCCCTTACAGTTAAGTGAGTGGAATTCACTGTCGTAATTACAGTGTATATGTCAGACTCTGTTCTGTGTTTTGTGTGTTTTGGTCCCCATGTGGTTCTATGCCTATATTTGGTCCTTCCCGTTCCTGTGCTTATCATTTGTTCCAAGTGTTCCCCGTTTAGTTCTATTGATCCCAGGTGTGTCTCGTCATCCCCTCGTCATGTCATGTGTATAAATAGTGTTCCCTGTGCTTAGTTTGGCATCTGGTATTGTATATGCCAACCTCTCCTGCTATGTGTGTTTGCCTGATTCCCTTGTGTTGGATGAATAAAGTCTCCTCGTTCCTTTTTAAACTAAACTTTCAAGGTAAAAAAAAAAAAAAACTTACATACAGTTGCTTTACATCAGAAATGTGAAGATTATCATTTCATAAAAGCAATTGCATTATTTTACTGAAATGTGTATTCGCTCTCTATTAAGTTGCTCATCATTTTACTGTGGTTTTAGGTATTACATGGTCATGGTGAAGAAGTAGAAGAATTGGATTGAGCTTTACACTGAAAAGGTTAGTATTTGTATATATTTTTTTTACCCCACACTTAAGTCATGTAAACATTTGTGTTTACATCTTTGCGACTATTAAAACAGTGAATATTTTAGTGTTTACAGTTTGGTCGCATTCAGTTCCTTTTGTAAGTGCCCCCTGCAGTGGTTCACTGAGCTTCCTTTAAAATGAAATTAATCAAATAAATTAATCACAGAGTCTCTACATGTAGCATACATTACTTAAAAAGTTTTATTTAAAATTCACATTGCCTGTAGCAGCCTAACATGCGCTAAGTGTCATGGTTCAGGGTGCCTTCTCGGCTTCTCTTGCTGTCTGTGTTTTCCTTTCATTTTCGGCAGCTCGTGGTCTGGGCAATCATTGCTGATCTTGCAGAGGGAGTGCACAGATCATGAGCTGACTCTCCCCCACACCTGTCACCCACTCCCATATATGGCTCTGCGTGAGTAGATTGTTTTGTCTTTGCTAGTGTTCTGTGGATGAGTGTAAGCATTTTCTTACCCTCTGTGCTTCAGGACTTGTAGCACGGAGATCTGGCAGCTCGAGTGGTCCGCAGTCTCTGCCGGCCAGCTCTGGAATCTCCGCTTACCTGAGCAGTATTTAATTGTTATTTTGTGCTTTGCGGTGAGAATAAAGGATCTCTTTTCTCACAACTCCTCTGCATCTGAGTCCTCTATCTATCCCAGGCCGTGACACTAAGGTGTTTCTAATTGTAGCTACTCTGCAATTCCCTATGATGTGAATAAGTATATCATTAACATGAATTTGTCACTAGCAAGGGTCTTGATCTGCACTAATCAAGTGATTTTTAAGGGGTCTTTAAACATAACAGTATCCCATAAATTTGTCTGTATAATGAGAAATCCAATGGCAAATGAACCAAATGAAGCAGTTTTTATGCATCATAAGGCCTTTAGGATGATATTGTCTGGGCGTTGATGAACTGCTGTCAGGAGCTCCTGCTCCAGGGTTCTGTGGAATCCGGGTGAGCTGATACCGAATCCACCGTTGATATAAGAGCCTGATCAAAGCCACCCTGTTTCGCCTGACCGATTTTCACTGGATTACGGATTAGGGAGACAGGAAGCAGCGAGAGAGGCGTGGAGACAGGCAGAAAGAGAGAGGGGGAAGATGGAGAATGAGAGAGACAGACAAACAGAGGGCTAGAGACCGCTATAATTGTGGAAACACATACTGAATGCAGAAATGCTTAGTACATGAATGATGAAATGTGTTAAACCCCAAGACTGAAACTGTAAGAGCAGAAACAATTTGTTTTCTATTAAATGTATAATGAATGGTGTACTTTTTTTTTTTTTTTTCTCTCAATGGTGCAGTTTGTTTATTTATTTTTTGTTAAACATCATTAGTTTCTCAATACAACATTTTGGTTGAATAGGGCCTGAATAGAAAATAGGGCACAAATCTCTTCAAACATTAGGTTTTTTTTTTTTGTTTCTTTTTTAGAAGCCAGTGTCAATGAAAGGAGGGGCTTAGCCTCCAGAAATGTTGGTCGATAACCTCAGGAGGTCAAACCAAAGAGTCAATAAATACATGAATAAATACAAACAAATAAATAAAAATATTAAAATAGTGTTTGTGAAAGAACAAAGTTGCAAGTAACAGGGTTGCAAATTTGGTCTAAATGAAGGTATTACTCAGTAGTTACTGTCTAGTTTGAGACCAAACATATCTGTTAAACGTATCTAAAAAAAAAAGTGCCTCTAATGCCATTTTTGTAGAATATTTTTCAATGTCGTTCTTTGCTTGCTATGATCTGATAAGACACACATAAGCCTGAGGTCATGTCTTGCATCTGTGATATCTGTTTCCCCTGAATCCTTCCAGTGCGACCCTGTATCCGTCATGCACACAGCACAACCACAGGTTCATTAGGGTTGTGCAGCTGTAAAGTGTTGAAAGCTTGTAACTATTAAATATGGTGCAATCAACTGAACACATGGGTCTTGAATAGCTCTAATTAAATAAACTTCTGAACCAATCAGAATTGAAACTTTAGTAATAACTGTGCTAAGACAGCTATCGTTAATTGCATCCCAGCGTGCATGAGCAGATTAGACATGCAGTTTCTATTTATATGTGATTGAAGAAAACAAAATATATGAAAATGTGGCCCACATGAATATTTATGCATTGTGAGATCAGATGAAATGCTGTATTCAAGACACTTACATTATACATAAACTCACAATACCTGCTATTTCATGGAGATGCTGTCTCCAATCTGACACTGTTGTGTGACAGCACATACACCACTCCTCTCACAGGAGAGCTGTTTATAGAAAGGTACCATCAATTCTCACCCAGAATGTAAGTAAGCATGCCCAACATGTATTTGGCTTACTACAAAACATCACAGCTCCCTATTCTTACCCCATAGGCCACTTAAAATCCATTCACACTAGGGTAATTTAAAGGGTTAGTTCACCCAAAAATTAAAATTAGCCTGTGTCACTTTTTTCTCACTTCCACTGACTGTCATACGCGAAAGGCGTTACGGCGGATGAAGTAAGACGTCGACGTTGCGTGATTAGTGACGAATGCGGAGACAAAACAAAACGCTGTTCACGAATTAGAAGCACAAAAGGAGGATTTGTAAAGAGAAATGTCTGAGGATTTCGATATAAGCCAAGAGAAGACTGGTTTTCCTTTGCTAAAGTAAGGAAACTTTGTTTCCTTCTTCTTATCAATGTGAGCATAAGTTATATCATTACACTGAATATTTTTTGGAAGATAAAGTAACACCATGCATTGCATAGCTGGGGGCAGATATTTTTTTATGATATGAGTTTGGTTGTGTAGCTGACACTAACTAGAGAAAATCTTTCTCTTTGTACAGATAACTCTGAAATACTTATCCTCATACTTATCCTATCTTCATACTTATCATCATAATAATGCTGAAAGACTTTTTACTTTCATTTAACATGGTTATGTAAGGGCATGTTCCCTGGAAAGTGCTTAATAAAATACTTTACTCAAAGATGACCAAACCTATGAATCATGAAAACAAATTTTACATTATGAAGCATGAAAGCTCCAGTCCTCATTCGTTGTAATGCAGTGGAAAAGCTCTATCAGTACATCCTTCAAAAATGTCTCTGTTTTTTTTTTTTTAACAGAAGAAAAAAGTAGCACTATTTGAAACGACATCGGGTCGAGTAAATGATAACAGAATTTTTTGCGTGTTTAACTATATCGTCCATATGCATTGATGCAAACCTGTCATCTTTTGGCAAAAATCTTTGTTTTGAATCCAGAATAGGTAATTTATGCGATTCATGCAGATCCAATGGGTTTTTTTAAATTAGGGAGAGGGGTTTTCAATGTCTTGAAGCAGCTCTGTTGTAATTAAATGTCACTTATAACATACATTTGAAAACCCAATTTAGTAATGAGAATTTGTAATGGGAATCGTTTATAAATCTGCTGTCAATGAAAGAGGAGCTCAATGGTTTTACTGATGTTCTATAAATTAAAATTATTACTGAATAATCTTTTTTTTTTTACAATACAACAGCGTTTATACTACAGTCTGATTTATTTATATGAAGCATAACAACAACATCAATAATAATTTAGCAATAAAAACAACACATGTGAATGTGGTCCGAGTCAACTAAGTGGAGAGTGAAAAAAATCTGTATAGATTCAAGTGTGATTATTTTCACCTATATCCTTATACGAAAGTCAACTTAAAGGGTTAGTTCACCCAAAAATGAAAATTAGCCTGTGTTTTACTCACCCTCAAAACATCCTAGGTGTATGTGACTTTCTTCTTTCAGACAATCCAGTCGGAGTTATATAAAAAATTGTCCTGGCCCCTCCAAGCCTTTCATTGGGGGTAAGCGGGTGTTGGTTGTCAACAGTTCAGAAGACGTGAAATAAAGTGCGCGCATCCATAATAAAAGCCCTTAGGCACTGTCATTATGGTTGCACAAATATAATTTTAATCCCACACAAACTGATCATGAGATGTTCATGCGCATGCAAAATATCTCACCAGTCCCCACCAAAACCTTGTTTACAACATATCCTACATTTTTCAGTAACTTTGTTTTTAATATTTTTTCTTGTAACAAGTATGTCTTTATGTGCTTATCTTGCAATCTTGCCTCTAAGTTTCACAAATTGATATCGACAAATTGACACACTGACATTAGATCATTTTTATTTTATTTTATTTTTATACAAAGAATACATGCAATGCTTTAGAATTTGGCCAAGATTAGGCAATCAGAGGAGAAGGAGAGGTAGGAGGCAGGAGAACTTCAAAAAAGGATTATGTACTGTATGTTTATGTTTACAAATTTTTATGCAAATTTGTCTCAATGATATTTTATATTTCTATTTCCTGTTTCCTTCTAATTAATTATCCGTTGAAATCACATTGCTGTCGTCTGGCGATGGAATGATATGTTTAACAGCTTAATGCAAGGAGGTCTTTTTTTACATCCTGTGAAATGTAACAGGGCAGCAGCACAATCTGATAGGATCTGTTTCCTATCAGGAGTTTGTTCGTTACTCATCCACTGATGCTCACACATGACCTAAGACCACAGGTCAGTCCCTGCCATAGTCACCTACAAAAGAGTCTAAAAAAAAAAGACCACCATGTAGGTTGAGAATATATGAGAATAGTTGCATGTGCACCCAGCTATCACTTGTCGGATTGTACAATACACTGTCAGAGAAAAAAAAAACAACTTTTGGGGGTACAACAGCTTGTCACTGGGACAGTAACCCTGAAGGGACAACCTTGTACCTTATCTAAAAGGTGCATTTTAGCACCTTAAAATAAGTAGAAATATGTACCATTATGGTGCTACAATGAACCTTTTAGGGGTACAAAGATGACCCATTAAGGGTACTGCCCCAGTGTCAAGTTGTTGTACTCCTAAAGGTATGATTTTTGGCAGTCACTTATCATGTCACACTAAGCCTACTGATTCCTCCTTACGGCAAAAGAAATATTTAGACTACCGAAATTTCCCAAAATTGTACAATGCTTAAGCTGAAATGTACTTCAAAAGACAAGGATTGCTTGCACCTTGCTGTTCCCTTCACCTCTCTGAATGTTTAATGCAACAAAACATGTACACGTTAATGTCTGTGAAGTGTTGTTTGGGATGCAAAGTGCAAACGCACTGGATGTGGTCCTCAGCTGCCTGGGGTGAGGCAGAATCTTGTTGCCTCAACAGGGGGTGGGAGGTGAGAGGTGGGAGGGGAGCATGCTCCAATCACCCATGAGCCACTGCTGGATATTTTATTTGTCAGTACATCTATCCGTACAAGCAGGGGACCAATGGCTTCAGAGGAAGTCTTCCCTCTGTCACAGAAACAGTTGGCACAGAAGCAACATATTACAGCATTATCCAACCCCCTCCTGATCCCTTGCCATC